ACCCCCCCACCCCGTAGGGCTGCAGCTTTTGGTGGAGTCAAGCTCGTCTCCCGCCCATCTTTCAGCTGCGGCCTGCTGCACCAAGCCCCCTGACACCCTCCAAAGTGCCCCATTTGGTACCCAGAGTTGTGGCTCAGGTCAGGTGTTGTTCACGAAATAATGAGCCAGCCTTCCCCTTGAGGCTGTCGCCTGCACCTGCCGCAGCCTCACCTCCCCAGAGACTCCGGGTGCAAGGGGTGGGGCGCTCTGGGGCTTTGAGCCGTAGTGCCCATCCTCCTGTATGCGCAGCGGGTGCTTCAGGTTCCTTACATCAGGCACGGAACAGATAAAGTCCTTGAGAACTCTTTGCAAGTGGCAGACAGACGCGCCTGGAGGGGACTTTCCCCACTAGATATGAGTGACCATCCCCAAACAAGTGTGGACTTGCGAGGAGGAAGGAGTGGTGCCAAGGGCCTGGGCCGCGTCCTAGCGCTTTATTTCAGGCTCCTCAACTGTTCTTGCAGGTATCAGTCTCATTTTAGGATGAACAGTCTCTTGAGAAGTGAAGGGACTTGCTCACGTCACACTGCTAGTAATTAAAAGCCATGCTTTTTGCAAGCATTAGCTATCACCATCCCACAAACAGTGGCAGCTGAGCCAGTCTTTACCTCCCTCCCCAGGCCAAAGGGCGGGTGGCTTCAGAGATCCAGCCAGGGTGCTGCTCCTGGGGAATGGTTTGGGGAGAGAGCTGATGGCCTAGCAAAGGGAATGGAGGGATCCAGAGGGACAAGAAAGGAAGGGAAGGAGGAGAGGCGCCCGCGGGGGTGTAGATGGATGCTACTAGGGTATCTAAGATGGAGTTTAAGATTGGTCCTAAGTGCGGGTAAGTCTGAAGGTGGCTGCCCACATGGGAAACTCGGGGTTCCACAGGGGCCACACTGCGGCCATCCCTGACCCTAGGACATACGTGTGCTTTGCTGAGGAAGAGACTTACAAAGAGATTTTCTTCCAGAGCGTCGTGGCACAGGTTTGTAATCTCAGCACTCAGTAGACTGAGGCAGGAGGATCTCGAGGTCCAGGCCAGTTTGGGATACTTGGTGAGATCCTGTCTCAAAAAAATTACCAAAAAAAACAGATAAGTATTCTCTCGGAATTTAAGGGCTCAAGCCTTCCTCCCTGAGTGTGTACGGGGGCGGACAGTGTCCCATACGGAGGCTCCGCCCGTCCCGGCGCGCCGGCCGGCCGTATTTGGACATTTCGTTCTATTTTTAACTTTCCCCGGACTCAAGGTTGGTGTTGGGGGGAGGGAAATCCTGCTTCTCCGTGACCCCGGGGCTCCAGGCTTGTTCCCGCGCGGTAGCCTGTCCGCGTGGGGTCGACACGAGCCCGGAAGTGAGTTCCGGGGCCGTGTAGACTCGGCTGCCAGGCGGGTTCCGGGCCCCACCCTGGAACTAACTACGTTCCTTCTGGAAAACCTGACTCAGGCGGAGCCGGAGGCCCGCGGGAAGCCCCGCCCCTCACACGCGCACCCCCCCTCCGGGTCCCGAGCGCCCCGGCCCCCCACCCCCGCTGTAGAGGGGCTGGAAAGGGACCCCGGGTCCCCGGCCTCGAGCCCCCGGGGCGGGCGGGTCAGTCCTGCCCACCGAGGCCTGTGGGGGGCGGGGCGGGGCGGACCCTCCCTCGCTGACGCCGCCGCGGAGCTGGGACATAGAGCGCGGGCAGCGGAGCTGGGCGCCGGGCTGGGTCAGGATGCGCTACCGGGCATCGGTGAGCAGGGCCGGCGGGCAGGGCGGGTGTCCCGCGTGTCCCTCGCAGACTCGCAGCGCCGCCTCGGCCCCTCCAGGAAGCGGGCGCGGCCCAATAATTTCGGGTGGAAAATGCCCCAAAAAGTTGCTGCGGGAGGAGGCCGAGGCGGGGAGGACTGCAGAACCTCGGACCCAGGGCTGGGCGGATAGCCCCTGGGGATGGCTGAGAACACTGAGACCCCCCCCACACCCGAGGGCAAGAGGGAGGTGACTGTGGCAGTGTTTGGCAGCAGCTTCAGGTTGGGTGGGTGAGTGGGGGCCACCTCTGAAGGAGACAGTCCTCACACCCTCAGGGATGACCCCAGTCCAGAGATCCTGGACCAACGGGGGTCAGAGAAGACTTGGCAATCTGTGGGATTTACAACTTCTCCCAACACCTCCTTCTTCCCGGACGCTCAAGCATTCCTGGCGTCACTTTCCTAGAGCCTGGTGACCCTCTTTGAGGGGAAGCTGGAGCCCTGGACATGGGATGAGGGGTTTGCTAAGCCTGCATCTCCCCTGCCTTCAGGTGGCAGCTGGGCTTTCCCTGGTAGAGCCCTCACCTCCTGAGGCTTCTCCACTTTGGAGGAATTGTGTGGGGAGTACCTCAGCTGGAGGGGAGGGAGTGGCTCCAGCAGAGGCGGGGCGGGCCACCCGGTTCTGGGGTGGGTGTTAAGTCCAGTTGGGGTGGAGGCCCATGGGGAAACCCTCTCCTGGGAGGTGAGCTCTTGCTTGATCTCTAAACAACACTCTACCCTTGGAGATTTGGGGGTCTGTGGGAGCAGGAGAAATTGCCCCACCCTGACTGCAGAATTCTCTCAGAACCATTTGTCCTCCAAAGCACCTGTAACACCCGTGGCTCAGAGCTGAGGGATTTGAGGTCATCTAGTCTAATCACTCCTCCTGCCTGAGGAGGAAGCAACCCCAAGAAAGGAGGGGATTTGTCCAAGATCAACACGGCATTCTTTTTGCCATTCCAAGGAGCTCCTTCTCAGAACTCACTTTTCTTCATGGCAAAACGAGTGTGTCTCTGGATTCCATGTCCTTGTTGCCATGTTTGCTCCATCCCTGGTGCTCCTGTGGACTGTGTGCATACCCTGAATGCCCCCCTGTGGACTCTTCTGCATGCCAGCATTCTGTGGCCCCAGCCCTATGTCTGGAGCATGTTCTGTGGCCTGTGTCCACATGCCTCTGTCTTCCACATCCTGCAGGCTCAGTAGAAGACTTGGCATGGCTTTGCCTTACCTGCTGACTCTGACTCTGTCCTGTGGCTGGTTCCCCACAGGCCCTGGGCAGTGACGGGATACGAGTGACCATGGAGAGCGCCCTGACCGCCCGAGACCGGGTGGGAGTACAGGATTTTGTGCTGCTTGAGAACTTCACTAGTGAGGCTGCCTTCATCGAGAACCTGCGGCGACGCTTCCGGGAGAACCTCATTTATGTGAGACCAAATCAGGAGATGGGTGATACTGGGGGCACAGACCCAGGGCTGAGGGAGAAGGAGGTATCAGGAACCTCCAGGACCAACTTCCAACCTTCCTCCAACTCCTAGACCTACATTGGTCCTGTCCTGGTCTCTGTCAACCCCTATCGGGACCTACAGATTTATAGCCGGCAGCATATGGAACGCTACCGTGGTGTCAGCTTCTATGAAGTGCCACCTCATCTGTAAGTGACTCCTTATGTTTCCAGGAGTGACCCCCCCCATCTCTGTCCAAGATGACCCCACCCATTCCTCACTCTGAAATGATCCCTGACCCTCTGCCCCTTGGGTGATTCACTGTTCTCAGGTGTGAGGAATCCCACGATTGCTTAGCCTACAGTTACCTTGGTTCTCACTAGAGGATTATCTGAATTCCACCTTCAGGACCTGCAGCCCCCTCCTCAGCTCCCACTCATGACTTCTTTAATTACCTTGGCATGGGCCACCAACCTTAATGTGCTTCTGAGGCCCACCTGTGAGGTCCTCACAGCCCTACAAATGAGTGTCCAACTTCCACCTGACTTCTAACACTCTACCTGAAGTGATCCTCTCAGTCCTCCATCTCGTAGTGACCCTCATCCTCAGTTGTGCCCCATGAAGGGCCCCAAGTCTCCATGTAACAGATTATAATAATTCTGACCTCTCTAAGAGTTCCAATCAGCTATGGGTTAGGCTCCCCAACCCCAGGAGCTCCCTGACAAGCCTCTCCCCCAGGTTTGCAGTGGCAGACACTGTGTACCGGGCACTGCGCACGGAGCGCCGGGACCAGGCAGTGATGATTTCTGGGGAAAGTGGGGCAGGAAAGACAGAGGCCACCAAGAGGCTGCTACAGTTCTATGCAGAGACCTGCCCAGCCCCTGAGCGGGGTGGTGCAGTGCGGGACCGGCTGCTACAGAGCAACCCTGTGCTGGAGGTGAGGGGACAGCAGCATCTGAGGAGAGGGTGGGGCACAGAGAAAATGCCAGGCATCCCTCACACTCCCATCCACTCCTAGGCCTTTGGAAATGCTAAGACTCTGCGGAACGATAATTCCAGCCGGTTTGGGAAATACATGGACGTGCAGTTTGATTTCAAGGTACCTCTGGGTATACTGGAGCAGAAAGCAGGGGTGGGTTTGCCATTCAGTAGTTGTTAAGTACTTACAATGTGCTTGGCACTGTTCCAGGTGTTGCTGGCATAGCCGTAAAATCAGACAAATCTTGCCTTCCAGAGTGCTAGACAATAAACAGAAACATAACAATTTAGGCCATGTGAGAAAATAAAGTAAAGGTGAGGGCTGCAAAAAAGAATTTTATGAGCTAGTTATTATTTATTTATTTATTTATTTATTTTGTCTTTTTGAGACAAATCTCTGTAGCCCCAGCTGGTCTGACACTCACTATGTAGACCAGGCTGGCCTTGAACTCACAGAAATCTGCCTGCCTCTTGCCTCCCAAGCTCTGAGATTAAAAGCGTGCACTACCATGCACAGCCTGAGCTAGTAGTCTAAATGTGTAGTTTGAGTCCCGGCAACAAAAACAGTGAGGGCCATGGCTTTGTGGAGGTAGGGCACTTGGTGTATACAGAGCAAGGTACCAAGGAATAGAGGGAGGCCAGATACTGTGGAGCTTTTTAGATCATTGCAAGAATTTTTTCTTGGTGTTGGAATCACCAATGTATGCTAAGAACACACTCTGCACTGAGACCTGTACTCCCAGCCCTGCAAGCTCAGTGAAAAGGCATTATCAGAGGGTTTTGAATAGAAGTGTATCAAGATCCAGCTTCCTGACTGAAAAGGTCACTGTAGCTGGTTTTTTGGGAGTAGATGTTAAGGGAACCCAGCCAAGCAGGGAAACCGGTTAGGAGGCTGATGTAATAATGTAGGTGACAGATGACAGTGTCTCAGATCAGGGTTATAGCCATCAAGTAGTGAGCAGAAGTTGGATTCTGGATGTTTTCAAGGTTAAAACAGCAGAATTGGCTATCTGCTTGGTTGTAGGAAGTGGAAGAAAAAGGAGGACCACAAACTTCTTGTCCTGAATAATTTGCAGGACCAAGTTACCACTAACCAAGATGGGAAGACACGAACAGGAGTTAGATTGGGAGGGGGATGATCTGGTGGGGTGTCAGGTGTCAGGCTTGTTAAATCTGCAGTGCCTGTCAGTTATCCAAGTACAGCTGCAAAATAGCTAGAATTGAATATCTCCATTTCTTTTTTCTTTTTTTTTTTTTGAGACAGGGTTTCCCTGCAGCCCTACCTGTCCTGGAACTCACTATGTAGACCAGGCTGGCCTTGAACTCACAGAGATCCACCTGCCTCTGCCTCCTGAGTGCTGGGATTAAAGGCGTGTGCCACCACACCCAGCTATTTCTCTTTTTTTAAAATATTTTATTTATTATTTTTATTTTATGTGTATGAGTGTATTGTCTGCATGTATGTGAGTGCACCTGTGTCGTGCAATGCAGCGGAGGTCAAAAGAGAGCTTCGGATTCCCCTGGAACATGACTTAACATCAGGATTTCTTTGAAATGGTGAGTATATGTAGTACTATCTCACGGTCTATTTTTGTGTGGTTTGTGTATGGTATGTGTGTGTGTGTGTGTGTGTGTGTGTGTGTGTGTGTGTGCGTGCCCGCCTGCAGAGGCCAGAAGAGGGTGTTGGATCCCTTGGATCTAGGGTTATAGGTCATTGTAAGCTACCCCACATGAGTGCTAGAAACCAAACTCTGTTCCTCTGGAATAACAGCAAGTGCTCTTAATCACCAAGTCATGTATCTAGCCCCCAAATCTCATCATTTCTTTGATGAAGAAACTGAAACCAGAAGGGGTGATGTGCCTGAACCTACCCAGCTAATGGCAGAGCTAGAATTAAAACCCAGGTCTACAGGGGAAAAAGAGGAAGATTGGTTCTTTATCTTGGTCCAGCTGACCAGTTCCCTTGCTCCACCCTACCCACAGGGTGCCCCTGTGGGAGGCCACATCCTCAGTTACCTCCTGGAGAAGTCACGAGTGGTACATCAGAATCATGGGGAACGGAACTTCCATGTCTTCTACCAGTTGCTGGAGGGGGGTGAGGAAGAGACCCTTCGTCGGCTGGGCTTGGAACGGAACCCCCAGAGCTACCTGTACCTGGTGAAGGTGAATGGTTGGTATGCAGGGGAGGTGCCATCCAGGGGCACAGTGCCAGAGCCGGCAACCCAGCTATGCCCTTTCTCCAGGGCCAGTGTGCCAAAGTCTCCTCCATCAATGACAAGAGTGACTGGAAGGTCGTCAAGAAGGCACTGACAGTCATTGACTTCACTGAGGATGAAGTAGAGGTTAGGGTTCTTCTGGGGATCCTCCTATCACACTGCAAAGTCACTTTTAGAACCCATTTCCACTTCTAGTCCCCTTCTCCTCCTGAGTGCTTTGCTGCCCTTCCCCTCCTCCATCTGATCATCTCCTGGCTGCCTTCATGGGGTTCCTGCTTTCTCCCCATAACCTCCACCTGCCCCTGCCCCTGCCCCTACCTCAGGACCTGCTGAGCATTGTGGCCAGTGTCCTACATTTGGGCAACATCCACTTTGCTGCTGATGAGGAAAGTAATGCCCAGGTCACTACTGAGAACCAGATCAAGTATCTGACCAGGGTAAGCATGGTGGGCAGAGGACAAGGAGAGGGTCATCTGTGTGAGGGGAACCCCTCACCGTGCCCATCCCACCCTTGACAGCTCCTTGGCGTGGAAGGCACAACACTTCGGGAAGCTCTGACACACAGGAAGATCATCGCCAAAGGGGAAGAGGTGAGACCCAGCTTGGCCCCCAAAACAGGAGGCGTGGGCAGTATTAGGAAGCCTCCTCCCGTTGCTTTCCTCCCCTTATCTACTCGGATCTTCAGCTTGCTAGAGGGACATAAGGCAGGTGACTAAGAGAGGCACAGTGAGCTAGCCTAGGGCACACTGGAAAAGGGAGGACAATTAGGTTGAAGCCAAGGCTCCTGTATCTGAGAATGAGGCCTCCTATTCCTATACCAGCTTCACTCTGATGTCCCAAATAGCACCATCAGTCTCCAGCCTCCAAGCCCAGTGGAGCTAGAGGGATGGGGGTGCTGAGAACTTTCTTGTCAGATGCCTAAGTCTGGAGAGGAGGTAGGATGGAAAGGTGTCTGGCATTCATTTTTTGCCTTACTCTCTGTGGTAGCTCTTGAGCCCGCTGAATCTTGAACAGGCTGCATATGTGCGGGATGCTCTGGCCAAGGCCGTGTACAGTCGCACTTTCACCTGGCTGGTTAGGAAGATCAACAGGTCACTGGCCTCTAAGGTGAGTACTCTGTCCATGCTGCTTCCAAAGCAGACAGGGAGGGCAGTTGGGGAGGCCTTATGGCCAAGAGTTGGGCAAACAGTGGCACCCATGCTCTTCTGCTGAATGACCCTAGGATGCTGAGAGCCCCAGCTGGCGGAGCACCACAGTTCTTGGGCTCCTGGATATTTACGGTTTTGAAGTATTTCAGCATAACAGGTTGGTACCACCATCTTTAACCCTGCCAGTCTGTTTGTACATACCCTTTGCCCTGTCCCTCTCCACTGTTCTCTGCCTCTTAATCCCACCTAATGCCTCTGGTAACCAGCTTGGGTCCTGTTTTGCATCACTTAACCCCTGCTGCTTGGGGGGCCTGATCTATCCCTGGTCCTGTGTGCCCTGGCAGTACTGTGGGTTTTTCCATTGTCCCGCAGCTTTGAGCAGTTCTGCATCAACTACTGCAACGAGAAGCTGCAGCAGCTCTTCATCGAGCTGACACTCAAATCTGAGCAGGAGGAATACGAGGCAGAAGGCATTGCAGTATGTGCATGCTTGGGGTACCCTGCACATCATGGGAAGTGAGGCACCAGGGCTCCTAGGAGAGAGTATAGGACCCAAAATTAATTTTGTGTTTCTTGTTCCCTGCAGTGGGAACCTGTCCAATACTTCAACAACAAGATCATCTGTGACCTGGTGGAGGAAAAATTTAAAGGCATTATCTCCATCTTGGTGAGTCCTCTGCTTGCCTAGCCTTGTGGCTAGGAAGCCACCCTCCTCCTTTCTCTCCAAGTGGATCCACAGGCTGGGCCAGAGTATGGGGCTGGTGAGGTACTGGCCCAGTCTACAAGCTCCCTCTAGGGACTCCCTAAGCTCTGCCCTTTCTCCTATTTCTGTGCTTTCCTTCATGGTGCCCACTAAGCTTCTGTGTTCACCACCTCCTTCATCAATAAACCCCTCATTTTGTGCCCTTCCCTGTAGGATGAAGAATGTCTGCGTCCTGGGGAGGCCACAGACCTGACCTTCTTGGAGAAACTGGAGGACAGCGTCAAGCACCATCCTCACTTCCTGACGTGAGTGAGGCTACTTGGGCAAGGGCTCTCACCTGGGCCAGAGCCTGTGGAAAACTGGGTCTGTTTATGAGGGCAACACCAGCCGTGAAGCTGGAGGCACATCCCAGTGGCTGAGGACTTACCCAGCATACTCAGGTCTCCCCTTGTATTCCATAGCACACAAAACAAAACAAAATAAACCACTAGCCACAAGTTGGTCACCAGAGAAAGTGATGTTCGAAACAGTTGTACAAAGCCACTGCTGGAGGTTCCTCCTTAATCTTTTTTGAAAATGAAACCTGCTAAGTTGTTTAGTTCAGTTTTTTTTTTTTTTTAAGCTTCCTTATTTGGATTTTTTTTTTTTTTTTTTGAGACAGGGTCTCATACGTAGCCCTGGCTTGCCTGAAGCTCACTGTGTAGATCAAGCTGGCCTCAAACCCACAGAGCTCCACCAGCCTCAGCCTACCAAGTGCTGGGATTAAAGACATGCACTACCATGCCTGGATGGAAATTGATTTTTATGCAAGGAATCTCCAATAAGAGGATCAATAGTTCCTCCTGGCAGCATAGCCAGTTCAAGACCACCTTGGGCTACTTGAGACTTTGTCTCAAAAAAGAAAAAAGAAAGGGAAGAGGGTGGGGAAAAGGATTCTCCCCAAAGTAAGAAAGAGTAAAAACATACATTTCTGACCTAGCTTATCCTACAGACTTTGTGCACATGCATCGCCCCTGTAAGGAGGCTTTCTTGGTGTTTGCTCATTTTCACCCTTGTAAGGAAAGGAGGCTTTCTTGGTGTTTGCTCCATTTACTGAAACTCAGAAAAATGAACTCATTGCCCAAGGTTATCTGTCGAGGTTATGTAGCTGGGACTGTGTCCGAGGGCTTTTGAATGCAAAAGTCCTAAACATTGTTTGTTTAATAGTGTCTGAAAAAAATTGTTTCTGGACAGGCTTGACTCATGCACTTGGGAAGTAGAGATGAAGATTGCTGCAAGTTTGAGACCAGCTTGGGCTGCAATATGAGATCCTGTCTTCAAAAAGTAAAAGAAAGAAAGAAAACAAGGAAGAGGGGCTAGAGAGATGGCTCAGAGGTTAAGGGCACTGGCTACTCTTGCAGAGGACCTGGGTTCGATTACCAGCATCCACATGGTGGTTAACAACCATTCATAACTCCAGTTTCAGGGGATCCAATGCCCTCTTCTGACCTCTGCACAACATTGGTGTAGTTGCGTACATGCAGGCAACACACATGTACTCAAAATAAAAATAGTAAATAAAATATTAAAAGAAGGAAAGAAACTTAAAATATTTAATTTTTAATTTTTATTTTATTAAGTGCACCCATGTCATGCAGTGCCCACAGAGGTCAGAAGAGAGCATCAGATACCCTGGAACTGGAGTTACAGCAGTTTTTAGCCACCATTAGGTTCTGGGGATTGAACCCAGGTCCTCTACAAGGACATCCAGTGCTCTTAACCACTGAGACATCTCTCCAGCCCAAAAAGTAAGAAAGGAAAGAAAGAAAAACTTTTTTTTTTTGTCTTTTTGAAGCAGGGTCTCCCTGAAGCCCCAGCTGTCCTGGAACTCACTATGTAGACCAGGCTAGCCTTGAACTCACAGAGATCCGCCTGCCTCTGCCTCCCAAGTGCTGGGATTAAAGGCGTGCACTACCACGCCCAGCAGAAAGAAAAACTTTTTTTTTTTTTTTCTTTTTGAGATAGGGTCTCCCCGTAGCCCCAGCTGGCCTGGAACTCACTATGTAGACCAGGCTGGCCTTGAACTCACAGAGATCCGCCTGCCTCTGCCTCCCAAGTGCTGGGATTAATGGCGTGCGCTGCCACGCCCCACTCAAGAAAATCTTTTTAAAAGTATCTTACTTTTTTTATTTTATGTGTGTGCGTGTATTGCCTGCATGTACGTAAATGCACCTGTGTTGTACAGTGCCCATGGAGGTCAGAAAATGATGTCCAATCCCCTGGAACTGGAGTTACAGTTAATTGTTAACTGTCATGTGGGTGCTAGGAACTGAACCTGGGTCCTCTGCAAGAGCAGTCTGTGCTCTTACTGTAGCCCCAGCTGGCCTGGAACTTACTATGTAGACCAGGCTGGCCTTGAATTCACAGAGATCTGCCTGCCTCTGCGTCTCCTGGGATCACAGACATGCGCCACCACGCCTGGCCATATTAATTTTATTTTTGTTTTGAGACAGGGTCTTATGTTACCCAATCTGGCCTAGAACTAGATACGTAGCTGAGGATGGCCTTCAATGCCAATTCTCCTACCTCTGCCCCCTGAATACTAGGATTACAAGGATGGGCCATCATACTAAACTGTTGAAATTCACTTCTTTTTTTTTTCCTTTTACATTTTTTTTTTTTTTTGTCTTTTTGAGATAGGGTCTCCCCGTAGCCCCAGCTGGCCTGGAACTCACTATGTAGACCAGGCTGGTCTTGAACTCACAGAGATCTGCCTGCCTCTGCCTCCAAATGCTGGGATTAAAGGCTTGCACCACCATGCCTGGCTGATTTTATTTTATTTTAAAAATTATGTTTATATGTGTATGGGAGGGTTGGTATGTTTCTCTGACCTAGGATTCCCTGGAGCTAGATACAGGTCATTGATGTCTATGCTGAGAATTGAACTCAGGTCCTCTTCCAGAGCAATTTATGCTAACTGCTGAGCTATCTCTCTAGACCCTAAATTCTCTTCTGATTATTGAAAAAAAAATGCTCATTAGAGAGAAGTTGGAATGTGTGCAAAGCTTCTTATGACCCTGTCACCCAGAGGTCATCATTGTTAACAATTCCAGGCATTTCCTTCCTGCCCTTTCCTATACATTTTTTTCCTCCACAGCTTGCTGTGTTTAAGGTTCAGGATAATGCTATATGCTATTTTTTCCTATATCAAACAGAAATTTCCTCAAAACAACCCTGGAGACTCTGAAGTTCTTACCCAGCCTTGGGGGTTCCTGACCAGCCTTGAGGGTTTTGTTTGTCTTTGATAGTGTTGGTGATGGAACCCAGGGACTCACACACACTGGGCAAGCACCCTTCCAGTGAGCTACATTTCAGCCCAGCCTCCAGGTTTCTGCGGAGAGAACAAAGCTTCCATAGTCAACCTTTTGTCTTAAATCTTTGCCTGAATCTCTGACTAGTTGCTCAGAATAGTTCTTAAAAGTAGAAAACAGGCTAAAGTGTATAAGCATGCTTAAGATTTAAGTAATCTCTTGGGACAGATTCCAGTCTGAAAATGGAGCAGATAGCTCACCACCCTCTGAGTAGCTGGGTAGCAGCCAGAGGCAATGAAAGTACCCAATGCCCAGTATGCCTGAGCCTAAGGTCCCACTCCTACCTTCTTATGCTGTGTGTCCCTTCGTAAGTTTGTCCACCTCCCTGATCCTCAGTGATCTCTGTGCAGCAGGCCTTAGGCCCTGCACAGTCTACCACATGGTGTATAATCTGTGGGACAGCCCAGGAGCCTGCCAGTCCCTTCCTGGATGACTCTGGAAGTCTCTTTACCAGGCAGGGGCATGCCCCAAGTCAGCAGTATGTAGCTTCCTTTCCTTGTCATCCCTAGGCACAAGTTGGCTGACCAGCGAACCAGGAAATCCCTGGGCCGGGGGGAGTTCCGTCTTCTGCACTATGCTGGAGAAGTGACCTACAGTGTTACTGGTGAGGATCTTGAGGCTGGGACCCATGGGGACAGGGAAGGGGTTCTCCCTCACCTTTCACCTCTTCTCCTCTCTCAGGGTTTCTGGATAAAAACAATGACCTTCTCTTCCGGAACCTGAAGGAGGTAAGGAAGACAGGCAGGCTTAGGTGGGTTGGGTACCCATAGCTCTGTATGTACCCCTGGCCTTGTACTCAACCCTGATCCTGTTTTGCCTCACAGACCATGTGTAGCTCAAAGAACCCCATCATGAGCCAGTGCTTCGACCGGAGTGAGCTCAGTGACAAGAAGCGGCCAGAGACGGTGCGAAGGCTATTGAGTCCTAAGGGGGTGTGGGGTGTGTGCGTGCTTGAGCACAGACCAGAGTCTGCATGGCCCAAGACTGTGAGCATGTATTTGTTGGTGCCATGTTCACACCTATGGGTGTCTGCAAGAGATTGCTTGCAGGACAATATTTGCCCTTTTTTGTCTTTTTGAGACAGGGCCTCCCTGTAGCCCCAGCTGTCCTGGAACTCACTATGTAGACCAAGCTGGCTTTGAACTCACAGAGATCTGCCTGCCTCTGCCTCCCAAGTGCTGGGATTAAAGGCATGCACCACCACACCCAGCTTTTTTTTTTTTTTGAGACAGGATCTCCCAGTAGCTCCAGGTGGCCTGGAACTTACTATGTAGACCAGGCTGGCTGGCATTGATCTCACAGAAATCTGCCTGCCTCTGCCTCCTGAGTGCTGGGATCAAAGGCATGCGCCACCACGCCCAGCTTGCCTAATTCTTTTTAAAAAATTTATTACATTTATTTATTTGTGTGTGAGTGAGTGTGCAAGCATATACACACCTTCGCATATATGGTCAGAAGACAACTTGTGTGGAGTTGGTTCTCTCCATCCAACATGTGGGTCCCGGAGACCAAACTTGGGTTCTCAGACTTGACAGAAAGAGCCTTTATCCACTGAGCCATTTCACCAGTCCTTCTTTGCCTATTTCTTTTTTCTTTTTTCTTGGGGGGGGGTCTTTTTAAGACAGGATCTCCCTGTAGCCCCAGCTGTCCTGCAACTCACTATGTAGACCAGGCCGGCCTTGAACTCACAGAGATCTGCCTGCCTCTGCCTCCCAAGTGCTGGGATTAAAGGCATGTGCCACCATGCCTGGCTCTTTGCCTATTTCTAAGTGCATACCAATCTCCAAATATGGACCACTATGTGTATACCTGCCTGTGTCTATATGGGTATCCAGGGTGCCCCTGCTTGTGTGAGTACTTGTGTGTGTCCACTTAGCAGACATCTCTGGCTCTGAGGAATCAGAAACAAATTGGTGTCCTCACAGTCAGGTGCACAGGTATTTTGGAAAGCTGCCTGAGAGAGTGGAAAGGTAGAGGTCTGGGAAGGCTCCCAGGAAGAGGCAACATTTGAGGTCATGGGAATAAGTGCTTGTCAAGTAGACTTGTGAGAGGGTACTGTAAGCAGCAAGAGAATTCAACATACACAGAAACCAAAAAAGCTAGGAAGTCAGTAAAAGCAACATCGTGGAGGAGAGGGCCTGGAAAAGACGAATGTGGCCAGTGGTGCCAGATGCAGGAACACTCTAGCCAGCTGAGGGCAGAGGTGCGACTGTTGGGCTGAGCCAGAAGAGGTCAGCACAACCCCAGGTCAGGAGTACTGCAAGCTGAGACTCTGCTGGGAGCCACAGGCCTTGTGGTGAACACCCAGGACCCTGCCTCTGTTGCTCTCTCCCCTCCTTCTACCTAAACATCTTCTCCCAGCCAGTGTTTCCCTACCCAGGATGCCTTTACAGCCTTCCCTGCCCAGATTCTGCAGCACACCACTAGCTCCTGTATCTAGCGATGGCCTTAACTGAGCCCTTGGCTGCCCAGCCCCCAACCCAAGCCTTGTTCTTCTGTTCTTGACTCAGGACAGAGATCACTCTCTACCTAGTCCCTCAGGCCAGAGACTTTACTCTTCTAGATCCTACATCTGAACACTGCTGATGCTTATTTATCACCTGAGTACTTCTCAACTCCCTCTCTTCAGCCCCTTCCCTACTAACCACAGCTCCAGGTCAGCCCCTGTTATCTCTCCTCTGAACCAATCAGCCTCCTCCCTGGATTCCAATCTACCCCTACCAATCCATCTTCCACACATATGCTCTAGAGATAATCCAAGTACAGATCTCATTGCCACTCTCACTCCATGTTTCTCATTGGCTCTCTATTTCCATCAAGATAAAATCTAGTCTCTCCAGTGTATACCTCTTATGATACTGCTTCTACTTGCTTCTAACTGAATCCTTGCAAGCTTGTAGCCCCCTGTGCATGTCAAGCCTTTGTTTAACCCATCTTTCCACCTGGACTGCTTTCTTTCCTCTCTTCCTGCCATCTCCTATTTACCCTCACAGTCTTACTTTAGGGTCATTTCCATATCTTTCCTGGTTCCCTTTATCCCACTAACTGATTGGTTATCCCTTCTTGTGCTTTCAGAACCCCACCCACCCACCCAAGGCACAGGCCCTGTTATTGTTAGGACCACAAGAGATTGCAAAACTTTGCTAAGGAATCTGCTTCCATGGCCTGAGATCTTTGAAGGCCTTGTAGAGATAATGTCTGATGCATAGGCATATAGGACACTATTTAGGATTGTCACCCTTAAGTTCTCAAAAGAGAGGGAATCAGTCCGGAGTGATGGTGCATGCCTTTAATCCCAGCACTCAGGAGGCAGAGGCAGGCCAGCCTGCCTCAATGTAGTAAGTTCCAGGCTAGTCTGGACTACATAGTAAGACTATCTCAAATAAAACAAGGGCTGGGGATGTAGCTCATTTGGTACTTACATGCATGAAGCCCTAGGTTTGATCCCTACTTCCTGATAACCTGAGCATGGTAGTACACACTTGTAATCACAGCACTTGGAAAATAGAAGCAAGGCGGATCAGGAGTTGAAGGTTATCCTCAACTACATAGTGAGTTCAAGGCCAGCCTGGGTTACATGAGGTCCTGTCTCAAAATAAAAGGGAAGAGCCAGGCGTGATGGTGCACGCCTTTAATCCTAGCACTCGGGAGGCAGAGGCAGGCAGATCTCTGTGAGTTCAAGGCCAGCCTGGTCTACATAGTGAGTTCCAGGACAGCTGGGGTTACAGGGAGACCCTGTCTCAAAAAGACAAATTAATTAATTAATTAATTAATTAATTAAAAATAAATAAATAAATGGGAAGGTAGGGAATGAGAATTTATCTCTATGGTAGACTATTGGCCTAGTAAGCACAAGGAACTGAATTTGGACCCCAGCACCAGAAAATGGTTTGAGAGAGAGAAGCTGGTTCCCAGGAGACCTGCACAGGAGGGCTGAGGTCTCGGGCTGGCCAGAGGGAGGTAGGGTAAAGTCTGGCCCCTTCTATTGTAAGGGAAATGTGGTGAGAGGAAGCAAATGAAGGGTACACACAGGCATCAGTGGCCTCAGCCCAATCCCAGCCAACCTCCCATGCTTCCTTGGCTTATCAGGTGGCTACTCAGTTCAAGATCAGCCTCCTGCAGCTGGTGGAGATCCTGAAGTCTAAGGAACCTGCCTATATCCGCTGCATCAAGCCAAATGATGCCAAACAGCCTGGTAGGTCCTCCAGCCCCATGGAGAAGTGGGTTTTGCTTCCTGGACTAGGGCAAGGGCAACCACCTGTCAGTGAAAGTCTGATGACCATCCAGTTTCCATTCCCTCAGGTCGCTTTGATGAAGTGCTTATCAGACACCAAGTGAAGTACCTAGGGCTGATGGAGAATCTGCGTGTGCGCAGAGCTGGCTTCGCCTATCGTCGCAAATATGAGGCTTTCCTGCAGAGGTGGGTGGGGTTAGTTTACCATTTGGAATGGGTGAGGCTAGGAGGCTGGGAACCTCCTGAGACCCATGGGGGAGAAGGTCCTTCACAGCTCTAGTTTAGAGATGAGGGTGCAGAGGCCCTCAGCTGCTGTGGAACCCAGGTCAGGGACCCTTTTATGCTGTAGGCCTAATGTTCTTGGAAGAGAGGACACTAGATGCACCCATGCCCCACCCTCCTGAAGCCCCTAGTGAGGGGGTACATGAGGAGCACATTGACAGGCTGCCACAAGAGATGAGTGGTATCAAGGGGACAGTTTCCAAAGAGCTCAGAGAGGATCTTGGTACTTTTGCAGTTATTCAGTGGGCAGGGCCCGAGTAAAAACCATCTGTGTTTGAGGCAGATAGAAATACCTCAGTCCTCCATCTTTAAATTGGGGACCCACCCCCGACCCCAGCATGTGAATAGTGTAAAGTGGGAGCACCTTGCAGATATTCTCCAAAAGCTGATGGGTACCTCCTGAGACAGGCACTGGCTTAGGTGTGGCTGAGTACATTCCTCCTCTTCCTATCCCCAGATATAAGTCACTGTGCCCTGAGACATGGCCCACATGGGCAGGACGGCCCCAGGATGGGGTAGCTGTGCTGGTCAGACACCTTGGCTACAAACCGGAAGAGTACAAGATGGGCAGGTGAGTGGAGCCCGTACCCCCCGTAAAACATTAGAGGTGACATCCAGAGGCTGATCACTGCTGTCCCCTCAGGACTAAGATCTTCATCCGCTTTCCCAAGACCCTGTTTGCCACGGAGGATGCTCTGGAAGTCCGTCGGCAGAGCCTGGGTGAGAGACTCACCCTTCCTGTCCCATAGGGGTCCTGGGGAACAGAGAAGTCACTGCCTTTGGGCTCTTTCTCCAGGAAACATGCCCCACCCATATTCTGCTCTCTTCCTCCTTCCCAACTCTAGCCCCAGCACAGGCCACCAGCCACCCCGCCTGGCCTCTGGACACAGTGCTAACCCAGCCCCATACTCATCTGCTATCCTTCATTTGCTCTTGCCTGACTTGTTTGTCCTTTTACAGTCCTTCATTTATGCCACTGACCATGCCAGACCCCCAGCTAGTGACCCTGAGCTCTGACAATTGACTTTCCTTCCCAACTACAGCTACCAAGATCCAGGCAGCCTGGAGGGGCTTTCACTGGCGACAGAAATTCCTACGGGTGAAGCGATCAGGTTTGGGGGCCCTGGGGTCTTTGGCAGGGCGGGATCTAGGGGTTGGGTGGACCACCATGGTGAGGAGATAGAGGTCAGCCATCTGTGGTCTCACAGCCATCTGCATCCAGTCATGGTGGCGTGGAACACTGGGTCGGAGGAAGGCAGCCAAGAGGAAGTGGGCAGCCCAGACCATCCGTCGGTGAGTGCTAGGATACCATATGAGGATGTAGATCAAGGTGTGTATGGGGTCTGTTGCCAGGTGTCTCACTCCAGCCCTGTCCGGTCCACCACTCCTAGGCTCATCCATGGCTTCATCTTACGCCATGCACCCCGTTGCCCCAAGAACGCCTTCTTCCTGGACCATGTTCGCACATCCTTTTTGCTTAACCTGAGGCGGCAGCTGCCCCGAAATGTCCTGGACACCTCCTGGCCCACGCCCCCACCTGCCCTACGTGAGGTCTGTATGGCCTTCCTGCTAAGTTGAGGAACATCTGTTAAAGTATTCAGCAGATGGGTCTGCTTATTGTGTGTCCAGAGAGGCAGTCAGGGAGGGCTTGAGAGTGAAGGCATGAAAACGAGTTCCCTGTCAGAACCTGAAGGGCTTTCTGGCTTGAAGGGCACTGCTTCTACAAAGGCCTGCTGGTGGGCATGTTGGGGATTTTGGTGGGAAGGGAGCCAGGCTGGATATGTGCTCTGACCTTGCTCTTCCCCACAGGCCTCAGAGCTTCTACGGGAGCTGTGCATAAAGAACATGGTGTGGAAGTACTGCCGGAGTATCAGCCCCGAGTGGAAGCAGCAGGTGTGGGGAGCAGGGGGTAGGGTGACTCAGCAGCCTCATACGAAGAGTGCTGGCTTAAGAGGCATTTCACCTAATTTACCCTGCAGTTTCAAATGAAGGCCAGGCCTTCATTCAACTTCATGTGGAAAGTGGAGGCTGCAGTAGTTTTGGGTGACAAATGGGGCTGATCTTATCAGCCAGCTTGTCTTGATTGGTAGAGTCCAGCTTCACTCTGATTGGTTAGTATTGATGGTTGATATGCCTTGTATTTGCCAACACAGTGTTAGATGATGGTGAAGGCCCCACGGAGCTCTGATAACCTGTACTAATTTGAGTATTAGCAGTCAGCCACCTACGAGATCCTAAATTGGAGCTAAATCTTGGGTGCTTCAGGGTCTGATGGAGAAATCATTCCCAAAGTCAGGCCTAGACCTTGACAGTCCTGGCATGATCCCTCAGAGTAGCTCTTCCCTTGTTTGGTGGGGAGAGTGGGTAAGGAAGGGAGGAGCTGATAGGAATGTTGGTGGCAGGGCTCACTCTCCTGGTGCCAGCACTAGAGAGCAGGTAAGAGGGCAGCTGGGCCCCCAGATGGGCTCCATCCCTTTGACATTGCATTCCGTTTGTCTCCTCAGCTGCAGCAAAAGGCCGTGGCTAGTGAGATTTTCAAAGGCAAGAAGGATAATTACCCCCAGAGCGTCCCCAGACTCTTTATTAGCACACGGCTTGGTGAGCACCTTACTTTCCAGCCCTTGAGCCTTCCAATACCATTTTGTCTCCTTCTGACTTCCTTCTCTCCCACCTGGGTTGCAGGCACAGAGGAGATCAGCCCCAGAGTGCTGCAGGCCCTGGGCTCTGAACCCATCCAGGTAAGACCTTACTGTAAGCCCAGTGCCATACAGTTCTCTGCTCAAGAGCTGGACAAGGGTGGGTCATGGCCTAAGCAATGGGTAAGGAGGCTCTAGCCTGGAGCCCCTCAGCCCCTACGCTGCCCCTCATACAGTGCTGTCTCTAGTATGCAGTGCCAGTGGTAAAATATGATCGCAAGGGCTACAAACCTCGCTCCCGGCAGCTGCTTCTTACACCCAGTGCTGTGGTCATCGTGGAGGACGCCAAAGTCAAGCAGAGGATTGATTATGCCAACCTAACCGGTCAGCCAGAGTCCAGGCCTGTGAGGGGTAGGATGGAGTCCTAATCTGACCTTTGCTCTCTGACCTCTGCCCTCCCCCTTCAGGAATCTCTGTCAGCAGCCTGAGCGACAGCCTGTTTGTGCTTCATGTGCAGCGTGAGGACAATAAGCAGAAGGTACCCCTTCAGGGCTTGGGAGTAGAGGGCTTCTCAAGCTCTGAACAGGGTTTGAGTCCTTCCTTCCTTCTTGCTCCCTAGGGGGATGTGGTGCTGCAGAGTGACCATGTGATTGAGACACTGACCAAGACAGCTCTCAGTGCTGATCGTGTGAGCAATATCAACATCAATCAGGGCAGGTAAGACACGCAGGGACAAGGATCTACCCTAAAGCCCATCTCTGTGACCAAGTCCTCACATGTTCCTTTGCCTCCAGCATCACATTTGCAGGGGGTCCAGGCAGGGATGGCATCATTGATTTCACTTCTGGCTCGGAGCTGCTCATCACTAAGGCTAAGAACGGCCACCTGGCAGTGGTAAGACCTACTTACCTATGGCTAGTTGGCTAGTCCTAGACTAGGGTAGAGCCCTCAGTGGCCAAGCCCTCCGTGGAGTATGTGGCCCCCTTCATCCTGTTGTCTACCCATGAAAGTCAGAGAGTACTGTTTGAGTCCCTATGGTGGCCATATTTAATAAGGGTCATAGCCAGGTGTAGTGGCACACACCTTTAATCCCAGCACTCGGGAGGCAGAAGCAGGTAGATCTCTGTGAGTTCAAGGCCAGCCTGGTCTACATAGTGAGTTCTAGGATGGCTGGGGCTACAGGGAGACCCTGTCTCAAAAAGACCAAAAAAAAAAAATTAAAAAAAAAATAATAAGGGTCATAAAGAGAACAACGGGAGCCAGGCGTGGTGGCACATGCCTTTAATTCCAGCACTCAGGAGGCAGAGGCAGGCACAGCTCTGTGAGTTCGAAGGTCTATGTAGCAAGTTCCAGGCTGGACTACAGGGAAACCCTGTCTCAAAATGACACACACACACAAAAAAACGGCAGGGAAGTGTGGAGAAGATCCATAGTGTAGCAATGTGCTTGTGGGAGGAGTCACTCTGACCAGAGGCAGCAGGTGTTGCTGTAGGAACAGGACAAGCGTCTCCAGGACCCTGTCTCAAAATGACCAAAAAAAAAACAAAAACAAAAAACAGAGGAACATGGAAGTGTGGAGAAGATCTGTGGTGTGGCAATGTGCTTGTGGGAGGAATTGCTCTGGTCAGTGGCAGCGACAAAAGTCTCCGGGACCAAGGCCACTCAACTCCCCATGTGCTACTAGAGATTGTCTAACCTGGGCCTACAAGTCCCCACAGTACCTCCTGTGTGCTGCCCACCCCCTGAACTTCTCTCTCTGCACCCACAGGTGGCCCCACGGCTGAATTCTCGGTGATGAAAGGCACCACTGGACACCTTCTGACTCCCAGTGCTTTGCTTGTCTCCTCCTCCCCTCCCAGTTACCAAAGACTCTAGCTTCCAGACAGGGATCCAGGGATACCTCAAAGCCTACCTACAAACTCCTGCCTCCTGCTCACCCTCCCTCAAGCCAGGGAGGGGGGCCAGGGAGCTACCCCAAGAGTGGGCCAGGCCGGGCCACAGCAATAGAAAAGCAGGGGCCAGAGTGGGCCAGGCCAACCCCTGCTATTGCCAAATATCTGAGAGAAGGGAATTTTAGCTGAGGTTTTCTCTGAGATTTTTTTTGATGCTTTATAGGAAACTATTTTTTAAAAGAAGCCATTTTCCTTCCCTAAACACACTGGATGTGTTTTCCCCAACTCAAATAGGGCAAGGAATATAGCTGAGAGGTTGAGGGGCTGTGGGAGCCTCTGACCAAGCCTCTTGTTCCCTTGGCATTTTGCCCATCCACCCATACCTTTTGCAGCCCTTTCTGACCTCCACCCAGGGGCTGAGACCACCCTTGCCTACCCCCATCTTCCTGCCTTAAGAATGCCCTTTTGCCAGGTGTGGTGGCGCACGCCTTTGATCCCAGCACTTGGGAGGCAGAGGCAGGTGGATCTCTGTGAGTTCAAGGCCAGCCTGGTCAACATAGCAAGTTCCAGGACAGCTGGAGCTAGAGAGACACCCTGTCTGAAAAAGAGACCCCCCCCCAAAAAAAAAGAATGCCCTTTTAGGGGCTGGGAGTATATGACCCAGTGGTAGAGCCGGTGCTAAGCACATGTGAGACCCTGGATTCAATCCCCAGCATTAAAAAAGTTTTAATATTTTCACCCCAATCTGAGGGCATCCTGAAATGGGGAAGTCTTAGACTTAGAATATGGAAGACTTCAGAGAAATCATCTGCCCAGGTCTCCTAGAACTATAGACAGAGGTCCACAGAAGGACAGTGTCTTGCCCAGTAGCAGGTTGAGGCAAACCTGGAGCAAAGCCCGTCCTCAGCACACCTCACTGCCTCTCCCAGGGACACAGAGGCCCATAAAACATGGGTCATGTCTTAAGTGTGCACTTGGCTCTCTGACCAGCAATCACCCTTGGGAGCCACCAGGTGGGAGGGGGTCTCCTTCCTGGGTCATGCCTTAGGATGAAACCCTCCAATACAGACACTTTGGACCCATTTTAATGAGGTACAGTCTATACTGGCCCCTGGTGCCTCTGTGGCCTGGGAGCATGGGGAAGGGCTGGCTTTGGAGGAGCTGCAAGGGCATCACCTCTTTCTGCCACTTCCCTTCCACCCAGAGGGCCTGGAGATTGCCCAGCTGTCTCTGTCCTCTGGGAGTCTCAGCCCACTGCTGACACTTCTGCAATCCAGAGAAACACTAAATAAAGCAATATGTGTTTGCCAACATGGTCTCTTTGTGAATGTTGGGAAAGGAAGAGGATTGTTGAAGGCAATCAGGGACATTGTGCTGCAATTCTTGTCTTGATTCCCCAGAAGAAAGGGGACAGGTCTTCTTACCTAGGAGCAAAAGAGAAGGACCAGTGGCTGCACAGCAGACTTGGTTTTCCATTGACTCTACCAAAGGTTGTTCAGCCTGGCCCAGGTCTGTGGGGTAAGAAGCATCAAGTAGTCCCTGCCCATGTGGCCTGTATAAGCCCAAGGTCCCACTGATGAGAGATAGAATCAGGTGAGAAGGGGTCCTTAAGACTTCGCAGAAATGGCATTTGAAATGGCTCTCAAAGGATTGCCCTCTAGTGTCTGTTGTACTGCAGATTACAAACCTGATTGGAACTGGTTTGGGCAAAAAAGCATTTGTTGGTGCTGGCAATCTACTGTCCTGGGAGGGCTGCTTCTAGGTGTTCAAAAGACATTGTTGGGAGCATGTCTGGGATCAGCTCTAGGCTCAGCCTTCTCTGAGCACCTCAAGGAATGGTAGGAGCCTCACTTTTGTTTATTTTTATTTAATGTGTGTAAGTATATTGCTTGCACATAGATAGGTACACCTGTGTCATACAGTGCCCAAGGGGGTCAGAAAAGGGTATCAAATCCCCTGGAACTGAAGTTACAGATGGTTGTTAGCCATCATATAGGTGCTGAGAATTGGACCCTGGTCTTCTGCAAGAGCAGTCATTGCTCCTAACCACTGAGCCATCTCTCCAGCCCCTCAGAGCTGATTTCCATTACACTGGAGTGAATGAGGTGCTCTGTCCTGACCTAGCCATTGTAATTAGTACATGATGATTGGCCAGCCCTGATTCCCATGCCTGCCCTGGAGACAATCAATGTGAACCATACTTAAGAACAGGGCCAAAATGGGAGGGAGATGACCCCCCCAAGGAAAGTTAACAACCTTTCTGCAGAAAAAAAAGGAGTGCTGCATGATGCTACCCTGAAGCTCGGAGCTGGGCAGCAGACCATTAAGCATGCCAGAGGGAGATCCATCATAGGCAGAAGAAAGGTGAGCACAGGGCAAAAAGGCACAGAAAGGGTTAGTTTGGGTCAGGTCACCTGTCCAGGGAGGGGAGATTCTCAAAGCATGTGATACCCACAGTGTTTGAGTGTTATGGGCTTGATGCTTTCTTGTCAGTACCTCTATATTTAATACTGCCCTCAAATCAATGTACAGAAAAAACAAAGCAGGGGTTGGTAAGATGGTTCAGTGGGTAAAGGCACTGACTGTCAAGCCTGACAACCTGGTTTGATTCTAAAACCAGCATAGTAGAAAGAGAACTGGTTCTTGAATGTTGTCCTCTGACCTCATGTGTCATGGCATGCTTGTGCCCATAACAAACACAAACATAAATTTTGAAAAGAAAGGAAAGCTGGACATGGTAATGCCTTTAATGATATTACTCAGGAGGCAGAGGCCAGCCTGGTCTGCATAGCAAGTTCCAGGTTTCAGCTGGGGCTACAGGAAGACCCTGTCTCAAAAAAGGAAAAAAAAAAAAAAAAAAAGCACTGCCTTTGATTGATTGAAACCTATTGATTCTGTCAATACTAAAAGTGGCTCCAAGAAACTGATAAGATAGGCATCTTATCATAGGTGCAATTACAGTTTTATGACTAAACTAATACTTTTAGAAATTAAAAGGTGTAGGGCTGGAGCGATGACTCAGCTGTTAAAAGCAGTGGCTGCTCTTGTAGAGGACCCAGGTTCAATTCCCAGCACCCACATGACAGCTAACAACCATCTGTAACTACAGTCTCAGGGGATCTGACGCCTTTTTCTGACCCGCAGGCCTTGCACAACACGGGTGCACCTATCTACATGCAGGCAATACACTCATACACATAAGATAAAAATAATTTAAAACATTTTTTTCACCAGGCGTGGTGGCACATGCCTGTAGTCCCAGCACTTGGGAGGCAGAGGCAGGAGGATCTCTGTGAGTTCGAGGCCAGCCACAGAGATCTGCCTGCCTCTGTCTCCCAAGCTGGGATTAAAGGCATGTACCACCACATCCAGCAAAAATAATAAAAAATATATTTAAAGGGTTAGGGGAGCAAGGCATGGTGGCCCACAACTATAATCCCAGTATTAAGGAAGCTGAAACAGGAATATCTCCAGTTTTTGGCCAGCTTGGGCTACATAGTGAGATCTTGTCTGAAAAAGGGGGTCTGGTGATATAAATTGTAAATGCCTACCTATTATGCAAAAGCCTTGGGTTTGATCTTTAGCACTAGAGAAGAAAAGGAAAGAAAGGAAGGAGAAAAGAAGGGAGGAAGGGAGAGAGAAAGAGGAAGGAAGGTAGGAAGGAAGAGAAAGAATTAAAAAGGGATTCATGTTAGTATAACTTGAAGGCTAACTATGGTGGGAAGGACATCACTTTTTCATGGTCCAGAAACTCCATCAGAGACCTGGAAATTTCTGTTTCCTTTTTTTCCCCTTTTGGTGCTAGGGATCAAACACAGGACTTGTTGAATACTTTGCATATGTTCTACCAGCTGGCCTGGAACTCACAGAGATCTGCCTGCCTCTGCCTCCGAACTGCTGGGATTAAAGTAGTACATTACTATGCCCTGCTTTTAAATATTTTTATTTTTAATAATTAAAAAAATTTTTGGTCTTTTTGAGACAAGGTCTCCCTGTAGCCCCAGCTGTCCTGGAACTCACAGAGATCCGCCTGCTTCTGCCTCCCAACTGCTGGGATTAAAGGCGTGTGCCACCATGCCCGGCATAAATGAAATTTTTTTTTAAAGTAAAAATAAATGAAAAGTGGAAAAATAAGTAACACAACTGCATAGCATTCCAAATTGTGTGGTACAAAGTTGTAAGATGTAGCCCTAATGACTTCAGGAGACAACAGCCAGACAAGCAGGCTGTTGCCTCCTCCTTCTCCATTGCTAGAATAGAATTGCCTTTATTTAGGCTGGAGGGTAGAGAGTCAAGGATTTGGGTGCATTTTGCTCATGGACAAGACCATCTTCCATTTCTCTTCCCTTCCTTGTCACCTCTACTTCTCTGTGAGAAGCCTCCCTCTCTCTCTTCCCTGCCCCAACACACACCAGGGGCCCTTCCTAAGAAAAGAGGTCTTTTTTTTTTTTTTTTTTTTTTTAAGGAAGGTCTCAGACTTATCAAGGGATGGCAAAACCCACCACTGTAATTACACATTCTTTTTAAAAACTTTTTAAATTTATCTATTTTTATTTTTATGTGTATGAGAATTTTGCCTGCATGCAGTAAGTGCACCATATTGTGCCCCTGGAGGTCAGAAAAGGGCATCAGATCCCCTGGAACTAGTTATGGATAGTTGTTAGCTACTTGTGGGTGCTGAGACCCAAACCCAGGTTTTTTGTTTGTTTGTTTGGTTGGTTGGTTGGTTTTGGATTTTTTTGTCTTTTTGAGACAGGGTCTCCTTATAGCCCCAGCTGTCCTGGAACTCACTATGTAGACCAGGCTGGCCTCAAACTCACAACGATCCACCTGCCTCTGCCTCCCAAATGCTGGGATTAAAGGCATGTACCACCATGCCCGGTAATACCCAGGTTTTCTGCAAGACTAACTAGTGCTCTTAACCCCTGAGCCATCTCTCCAGTTCCACAAATTCTTATTTTATTTTGTTTTATTTTATGTATATGAATGTTTTGCTTGCATGCATATAAGTGCACTTGTATTGCGCAATGCTTGTGGAGACCAGAAAAGGGGTATTGGCCCCCCTAAAACTGTATATGGGTTCTGGGAACTGAACCTGGGTCCTTTGGAAAAGCAGCCACTGATCTTAACCACTGAGCCATCTCTCCAGCCCCTGAAACTGCAAGTTATTAGCATCCTTAGGTATAAAGGGAAGATGAGGAGAAGAAAAGAAAAGAGGAAGGGGCAGGTGGATTTGCTGAGTTCTTGTCCCGAAACTACTACTGATCCTACATTGTTGGCTTTGGATGTGTAGATTCTCTGTGTGAAGGAAAGTCACATTTGAGCAGCCAGATCTCTTCTGTTGCCAATCTCCTTGCTTATTTTCAGCCAAGATATGATTTCACGTTGTTTGTTTTAAAAGCAGTCTTTCTTTTTTTTTTTTTTTTTTTGTCCCAGCTGGCCTGGGACTCCATATGTAGACTAGGCTGGTCTTGCACTCACAGAGATCCAACTACCTCTGCTGAAATTATAGGCATACGTCACCATGCTGGACTTTTAGAAGCAGGCTTACCATGTAGCCCTGGCTTCCAACTTACAGTGATCCTCTGGCTTCTGCTTTATGAATGCTGGGATTGCAGGTTTGTGCCACCACAATCCTATTAGGGAAAGAATATTTTAAAAGAAAAATCAGGCCAGGCATGGTAGTGCACACCTTTAATCCCAGGATTTGGTAGGCAGAGGCAGGCGGATCTCTGCGAGCTTAAGGCCAATTATGTATACTTAGAGAGGTCCAGGCTAGCCAAGTTCTACATAGTGAGACCCTGTTCCAACAAAACAAAACAAAACACAACAAAACAGAAGAATGAGGGCTAGTGAGGTGGCTCAGCAGGTAAGATAAATGGACTTGCTGCCAAGCCTGAGCATTTAAGTTTTTTTTTTTTTTTTTTTTTTTTTTTTTTTTTTTTTTGTCTTTTTGAGGCAGGGTCTCCCTGTAGCTGCAGCTGGCCTGGATTCTCTATGGAGACCAGGCTGGCCTTGAACTCACAGAGATCTGCCTGCCTCTGCCTCCTGAGTGCTGGGATTAAAGGTGTGCACCACCACTGAGCATTTAAGTTTGATCCCTGGGAACCACATGGTGGAAGGAGAGAACCAACTCCTGCAAATTTGTCCTATAATGTCCACATCCACACCTCCTACATAAGTAAATAAGTAAACATAAAAATATATTTAAAAAATAATGAAAACAAAGAAGAGCTTGGCATGGTCGTGTACACTTCTAATGCCAGCACTCTGCAAAGGGAAGTAGGAGAATCAGAAATTCAAGGTCATCCTCAGCTATGTAGTGGGTTGGAGTCAAGCCTGGGATACCCGAGACTTTGTAATAGTAAATGAATGCATACTATTTATGTCCTTTTCATGTGTCCTAGGAAGGGGCTTTGGTGTCTCCCAGACAGTCTCTGGGTAGGGTTCTGCCTTGAAGCCCAGCTGTCCTGAGAAAGGAAGAACAGGCAATTCTTTTTCCCAAAGGGTCAGAATTCACACTGAATGGCTTCTGTTCCTGGTGACATAGTGTGACTAAGCTAGGGTCATTATGAGTCACTGTCAACAAGGAAGGTGCCCTTTCCCCTTCTCTCTCCCAGGACTGGCCCAGGGGTATGGGAGGAAGCTCTATTAGCACTGTGCTATCCATTAGGCTAGGGATAACTTTTTTAAAGTCCAGATTTCTGCCACGCCCCTAGTCCTAGAACTATCTCAGAAATATGAGAATATAGCAGAACAGAGCTCTCATCTTCCAATAGATGAATCCTAGATCTTCACTGAACAACTGTAAATGTCAAGACAAGTTACTTAAACTCAACAGTGAGGATGAAGCTCAGGAGTACAGCGCTTGTAGCATCCTGAAGGCCCTAGGCTCAATCTTTAGTACCTATCTCAGCACGTGCTATAATCTGAGCACTTGAGAGGTAAAGATAGAAGGATGAGGAGTTCAAGGTCAGCCTTGGTTCCTTAGTGAGTTTAATGCTAGCTTGGGCTACATGAGACCTTGTCTCAAAACCAAACGAAACCCAAAAATTCAGGCTGGGGGTTAGAGAGATGGCTCAGTGGTTAAGAGCGCTTTCCATTCTTTCAGAGTACTGGAGTTTGGTTCCCAGTGCTCACATCAGACGATAGCTTACAACCACCTGTAACTCCAGCTCCAGGAGGATCTGATGCCTCTGACCTCTGGCAGTACCTGCACTCATGAACACATACACACAGATACACAAACAGACACAGAATTAAAAATCTATCTACTGAAGCTAATAAGATAACAGAGTTTTCTATGTTACTCTCATTGTAACATCAATAAAGTGACTTTCAATAAAAGATTTATGTTAAAAAATAAAATAAAAATGTATCTTAAGAGGGATGAAAATATGGATGAGGGGGTTAAGAGCACCAGTTGCTCTTGCAGAGAACTCGGATTTGGTTTCCAGCACCCACATTGCGGCTAACAACTGTCTGTAACTCCAGTTCCAGGGGATCCAATGCCCTCTTCTGTCCTCTACAGGAATTATACACATGTAGTTACATTTATGTACATGCAGACAAAACACTTATATACATAAAATAACTAACTAAATAAAAAAATAAATAAAATATTTTAAAAATTGGGGCTTGTAAAATGGGTCAATGTGTAAAGGCATTTGCCATCAAGCCTGATGAACTGAATTCAATCCCCAGAATCCACATGGTAGAAGGAAAGAACCAACTCCAGAAAGTTGTCCTCTGAACCTCTGCGTGTATGCTGTGGTACATGGTTACACATACATGTAAACAAAATAAATATAATAAAAAATTTTAATTGAAATCAAGGCTGGGTGTGGTGGCATAGGTCTTTAATACTCAGGAGGTAGAAGCAGATGGATCTCTGTGAATTTGAGGCCAGCCTGGCCTACATAGGAAGTTACAGGACAGTCAGGGATACATGGTGAGTCCCTATCTAAAAACAAACAACAGCAACAACCAAAATACCAAGCAAAAATAAAATAAGTTACTTAAACTTTGAGCTTCAGTTCCCTCATCCATAAATTGAGGGTAATTGTAAGATATTGGCTCATAAGATTGGGATGAGAATTAATTGAGATGGTTCATAGAAAAATAGTCAGCACCATGCCTGGTAGATAGTGGTCCCTGACTATAGCTGTTATTTTTATTTAAAAAAATATTTAAAATTTTATTTTCCAGTTTATTTATTTATTGTGTGTGTGTGTGTGTGTGTTTGCATGCTCAAGCCATGGTGCACATGTGGAGGTCAGATGACAACCCATAGGAGCTGGTTCTCTCCTTCTACCATGTTTCCAGGGATCAACTCAGGTTGTCAGACTTGGTGGCAGGTGCCTTTACTCACTAACTTATCTTTCTATCCTAGTATTTGCTATTATAAAACATATATTTTTGAAATTTTAATATTATTTATTTATTTACTTATTTATTTGTCTTTTTGAGACAGGGTCTCCCTGTAGCCCCAGTTGTCCTGGAACTCACTATGTAGACCAGGCTGGCCTTGAACTCACAGAGATCCACCTACCTCTGCCTCCCGAGTACTGGGATTAAAGGCATGAGCCACCATGCCCAGCTTATTATTTTTATGTGTATGAGTGTATTGCCTGCATGTAGGTAAGTGTACCCGTGTCTCATAATGCCCTCGAAGGACAGAAGAGGCCATCAGATCCCCTGGAACTGGAGTTACAGACAGTTATTAGCTGTCAAGTGGGTGCTGGGATTCAAACCCAGGTCTTCTACAAGAACAACCAGTGTTCTTAACTGCTAAGCCATCTCTCCAGCCCCTTCTATTATAAAAGCTTATAGAGCCTCCTAGACTACATACTTGGACTATTTGAAGTGGAGTTTCTCTATGTTGCCCAGGCTGGCCTTCAGCTGTTGCCTCAGCCTCAATAGTAACTGGGACTTGCCTAGATAGATATTCAGTCTTTGAAGAACTCTAGCATGAGACACAGATAAACCAATACTTGAAAACTTCTAGGACACAGGGTAAGAGGTGTAGTGGAAATAATATGAACCCAGTGCTATGGAAGCAGAGAGGGAGTGATGGGGTGATCATAAAAAGGAACACATTTGGGTCTGGAGAGACGGCTCAGCGGTTAAGAGCACTGACTGCTCTTGCAGAGGACCTGGGTTCGAGTCCTGGCACCCACATGGCAGCTATGAACCGCCCTTAAAGCAATACACGTACACATAAAATAAAAATAATAAAATATATTTTTTAAAAAGGAACACATTTGAGTTTAAGATCCTCCAGAGAGTGGATGAGCATTTCAGGGAAGAAGAAACAGAGCGCTCATGGCAAAGCAGTTAGGATAAGACTGGCTTGACTTTATGCTGTGAGCTAACTGGGAGTTTTAAGGCTGTTAAAAGTTTTAAGCAGGGGCTGGAGCGCTGGCTCGGTGGTTAAGAGCACTGGCTGTTCTTGCAGAAGACCCTGATTAGAATCCCAGCACCCACATGGAAGCTATCAACTGTAACTTCAGTTCCAGGGTTCTGATCCCCTCTCCTTCTTCCATGGGCACTGTGCAACATGGGTGAACTTACATACATGCAGGCATAACACTTATATACATAAAAATAAAATAAAATAATTTAAAGTTTTATGCAGGATAACAACAAATTTGTATTTTAGAAAACTCACATTGACAGATGTTTAAGTACAATTAGGGACAGCTGAGTTAAAAAGCAACAGCAGGCAGGCCATGCACAGGAATATACAACCATTCCTGTAATCCCATCACTAGGGAGGCTAGGGCAGGAGAATCTGGAGTTAGAGGTCAGCCTGGGCTATAGAGTAAGACCTTGTTTCAAAAAAAGATGATCATGATATCAAGGCAGAGAAAGTAGGAGATACCCATGGCTACCATTTAGGGTTTTGAAAAAGAAATCTGGGCTGGTGACATGAAAACCTCAATAGAACTCCATTCTTCCATCTGACTGGGCCTTGTGTTTCCTTTGCCTTGAGTATCCTTCCTCACTTGCCATTCAATATTCAACCATTCAACGTGAGCCATTTCTTCTGAGGCACGCTTTTTGTTGTGCTACAGGGTCTCACTATGTAGGCCAGCCTGGCCTCCAACTAGTAGCATCCTTCTGCCTCAGCCTCACAAGTGCTGGGATTACAGCCATGAGTCACCTTGCCCAACCCTTGAATCCCTACATCAGTAGATTTCTTTGTATCCTTGTTTCTCATCATAGCGCTTGCAGTTCCTTTGTCATTAATTGTTTCCTGGTTCCTCCCCATAGTCGGTGAATTCCGTAACTGCAGGGCCCAGTCTGGATCACTGGCAAAGCGAAAAGCATGACTGTTTACTGATTGAATCAATAAGGAGAACTTCAGCTGGCCTCTGGGGAAACCGGAAAAAAGCAGAAAAATACCAGCTAGTTAGGGAGTTTAGCGGGAACTCGGATTCTGGGACCATACCTTCTTTTCTACTCTAATACTTGTTTGGGTGTCACCACCTGTAGGTTCGGGGAGTTTGAGGTTCTTTAAAGCCTGGTGGAAAGAATTTCACCACCCATCTGTCAAAGACAAATAAGACTGCAGGCGGAGGCTCCGCCCCTTCTCTTAGGCTCCGCCTCCCCATCGCCTGCAGTTCTAGCCTGGACCAGGCGACGCCCATGGGGCCGCATGCGCACTGCAGGCCCCAAGGCTCCCTTGCCCTTCTCCCAATGGCGGGCGGCAGTCCCCTTCCCGGCAGCCTCCCTCGGGTAGAGAGCGCGTCATTTCCGGTGGGGAAGGCCCGCGGCCGCCGCCGCCATTTCGGGCGCTGCTGTGAGGCTGATACCGGAGCCGGTCCGCTGGGCGGCGGGCGCCAGGGCTGGAGGGGTGCGGGTGGCGGCGGCGGCCCAGCGTGAAGGCGCGGAGGCGGCCATGGCGGGCAACTTCGACTCGGAGGAGCGGAGTAGCTGGTACTGGGGCCGCTTGAGCCGGCAGGAGGCGGTGGCGCTATTGCAGGGCCAGCGGCATGGGGTGTTCCTGGTGCGGGACTCGAGCACCAGCCCCGGGGACTATGTGCTTAGCGTCTCCGAGAACTCGCGAGTCTCCCACTACATCATCAACAGCAGCGGCCCGCGCCCGCCAGTGCCACCGTCGCCCGCTCAGCCTCCGCCGGGTGAGGGACAGACGAATGGGAGGCCGGGGCGGGGGTGAGGGCGGGGGAACTCTGACCGGCTGCTCCTGGCGAGCTGACTCCCACGAGGGCTGGGGTGACCCTGGCAGGGGAGCAGCCTGCTGCCCGGGCTGGTTCTCACCAACGAGCGGGAGTGTGGGGGAGGCGGAGCCGCTGACCGAGGCCTCTGGGTGTGCCTTGGGAGCCTGGGGAAGGGGAACTGCTGCGGCCCCAGGGTGGGGCTGACGCCCAGGTCAGGCCCAAGGGCAGGGCAAGGCCAGGCTAGGTGGGGACAAAGAGCTGAGGGGGATGTTGGCACTGCGGGGGCATCACTTAGCAGCGGTGTCCAGAATGGATCTGCTAATTCTACAAGTGGGTTTTAGGCTTGAAACATTTCCTGCAGTGTTGGAGAGCCGGGTTTGGCCATACTCCCCTGGTGGCCTTTGGTAGGAAGTCACCACATACTGGCCGGGAGGGATGGAGACACCTTCAGGAAGCCGGTCAGCTTTTTCCTTTCTTGGGCATTTTTCCAAAATGCTTTTACCGTGCTCTTCCCTTCTGGAAGATGAAGGTGGTGAACTAAGTGCTTTGGTGATAGAAAAAAGCCTTCTATGACCAGCCCTGCATAATTGATGCCTGGCTGGCAAACTGTCCAAGAGGTTATAGTGTCCAAAAGACTGCCGGCTGCAATTAGGGTTTCCAGTCTGAAAGTGCTTAGTGGAGGAAAGTTATTTCTCCCACCCCACCCCCCACTCCCAGTAAATAAACCAGGCATAAGCCAGTGGGAACAGCTCTAGAATTGAATGGCTTCATTTTCCTTGGGGCTCAAACGATATCAGTCGTGTAGTTTTGAGCCTTTTCTTGCTCAATAAGTTGGGGCTGTGGTCAGTGTTCCAGGATATTGGAAACAGACCCTGCTGGAAGCTCCACCGAGAAATTATCCCACTTGAGTCTCCGTTGTCAAGGATCGTTGAGATGTAACTGTCTTACTCATGTTATTGGAGTGGTCTTGGAAATACATGCACTTAGTACTACTGAATGGTCTTGGAAATACATGCACTTAGTATTTAAAGTTTGTGAGATACTGAGTAGTTCTGAGATTATTGTTGTCTTTGTATCTATGTGTAACAGCACCAGGATTCTTCGTGGGTTCTTGTTCTAAGTGGGAACTGTTTCCTCTCAGATCTAAGCCAGTCTCATGAATGAAGATTCCCTACCAGCCTCCCTGGTCAGCCTTAGCAGTTGTACCCTTTTAGGATAGTCCTAATTTAGTCTTACTCACTTTGACCAGAAATGAGGGGGTGAGTTAACAGACACAAATTAAGGGCTAAAAATTGAGTATTGAGGTCTTTTTAGTTTGCACATTATTCTAGATCTTTCTAGGTCCCTTTGGTTTACTATTATAAAAAAAGATAGGAATGTGGATGCAATATATTTTTCTTAAACCAGATAAATTCTACTCTGATACCATCTGCAAGATACCTGTTGTTAAAATTCAGTTTTCTGCTAGACTTCGTAGTGCATGCTCATAATTCCAGCACTTAGGAGACTTAAGTGGTAGGATTTCCACAAGTTTGAGGCCACCCTGGGCTACATAGCAAGATCCTGTCTAAAAAAAAAGGCAGCTGGGCCTGGTAGCTCATGCCTGTATTACAGCTACTTGGAAGGCTCAGGCTGGAAAGTTGAAAGTTCTAGGCCAGCCTGGGCAATTTAGCAAGATGCTGTTTCAAAATAAAGTTAAATGTAGGTGTTGAGGGGCGGGCTGAGGATGTAGTTCGGTGGTAGAACATTTGCCTGGCATGTGGGCAGTCTGGGTGTATCCTAAATGGTGCAAAAAAGAAAAAAACCCTCAACCTTTTGTATGTGCTTGTATTTTGTCATAAAATTTGGGAATGGCAGCAGGCTGGCTTGTTAGCTTGATAGTTCTCTATACATTGGCATTGTGGTTTTATATCTCAGTAGCTCCACCTTTTCAAAATAGATAAAGAATTCAGATCCTTGGTCAAGCAAAGAAGGTGAAGATTGCCACAGTTTGTGGATGAGGTGTGAAAAGGTGCGGAGCATTGTGACAGTTCTGCGGTGTACCCCATTTTCTGTGTAGGGCAGTCAGTTCACTTGCTGTCTTTATTTTGTAATGATTACTTAATCTTTGTTCTCCTGCCCATTAAGCCCTTTTTCTTTCAAAGCCACATATAGAATTACTTGAATTTTAGAGAGACATATACAATATTAATAGCTAACATTTATTGACTGGTATTGTTTGCCAGGTGTTTTGCTAAATAGTTTATAATGCATTACTCTAAGTTTAGTGAGTGAGATACTGTGATCTCTTACTAAAATATTTACTTTTTAAAAACTTGTTTTTATTTTATGTGTATGAGTGTTATGCTTGCGTGTATGTAAGTGCACTCATGTTGTGCAGTGCCCGGGGAGGACAGAGGAGAGCATCCGATCCCCTGGCACTGGAGTTAGGACAGTTGTTAGCTGTCATGTGGGTGCTGGGATTCGAACCTGAGTCTTCTATAAGAGCAGTCAGTGCTCTTAACCACTCAGTCATCTCTCCAGCCCCTAAAATACTTTCTTTTTATGGGAGAGGAAATAGATTAATTAAGTTGTGTAAGGTCACCCACCATGTAACAACCAGAATTTGAACCTAGGTATTTGGACCAGAGAAATGACCCTTTTACTGTATAATTCTGACTTTTTGTTGTAAATTGTTTTGGGATTCCATTAGTATACATAGAAGACTCATCCTTAATACTTGTCTCAGCCCTGGGGTCTTAGAATATGTTTAAAGATCAAAGGGGCAACCAGGTGTGGTGGTCTATTCTTGTAATCCCAGCCAGCACTTGGGAGGCAAAAGCAGGAGGACCATGATGAGTTCCAGGTCATCTTATGTAGTAAGATCCTGTCTCTAAAAAACCAAGACTCATGAGTAGGCTTTTGAGCATATGCCTTTTCCCAGCTTGCTGACCTGCTCTCATTCTCAGGAGTGTATTTCTCTTTCTTAATAAACTCTGTTTTTTTCTATTACATTTTTAAAAATTCATTGATGGGACTGGAAATAATAGCATATGTAAGGTCCTATATCTGGTTTGATATCTAGCACTGAAAAATATAAAAATAAGCAGGGCATATGAGATTGCTTCTTGGTTAAGGGCACTTGCTGGTAAGTCTAAGGACCTGAGTTCAATCCCCATGACCCACAAGGTGGAAGGAGAGACTGACTCCCAAAGTTGTCCACCATTGTCCACTGTAACACATTCGTGCTCATAGATACATAAATAAGGCTGGGCCTTTTGTCCCTGCACTCTGGAGGCAGAGGCAGGCAGATTTCTGTGAGATCAAGGGCAGCCTAATTTACATAGTGAGTTCCAGGCCAGCTGGGGCTACAGGGGAGACCGTCTCAAAAAGACAAAAAAATTAAATAAAAATAAGGGTCAGCAGAACAGCTTACCAGTTAAAAGCCCTTGCCCTTGCAAGCCTGAGGACTAGAGTTTGATCCCTCTGCCCACAGTGGAAGGAGAAAACTGACTCCCGAGGATTATTCTCTGACTCTGTGCTTGCCTTCATTCAGGTACACATCATGTATGTGCACATGCACACATACAACACAGGTAAATTAAGAGGGATGTGGATAGGATAGGCCCCAGATTCTCACTTTTTTCCAATGATACTTGTTTGAGACAGGGTCTTGCCCTGACTTGGTACTCTCTATGTAGACGAGACTAGCTTCAAACTTGTTGTGATCCTCTTGCTACAACCTCCTGAGTGCTCAGGTTAAGAGCAGACATGAATTGTCCCATCCAGCTGAATGATCTGGTTTTACTTATCAGAGATCTTTAGCTTCCACAGATCTCCTATGCTGCTATAGCCTGGGAGCATCTTGACTGTGCCCCAGAGCCATAGGGGAGAGTTTGGTTAGGTTTACTGGTCATAATCTGTCAGGTTGGGTTTCATGGTAAACCACTTGGGAAGACTTGGAAGAACCGATCCACTAATTTCTTTCCCTTGGAACAATGATGAACTACTAGACTTTGACCAGTAGAGTCCTCAAAACTGAATGAGAGGCTGGGGATGTAACTTAGTTGATAGAGTACTTGCCTGGCATGTATGAAGCCCTGGTTTCAGTCCCCGGCACCACATAAATCAGGCATGTGCACAGGCCTATAATCCCAGCACTCTAGAGTTGGAGACAGAAAAAGCACAAGTTCAAAACTTCTCAACTATACATTGAATTGGAGACCATCATCCTGGGCTACATGAGACACTGCCTCAAAAAAAAAGAAAATGAATAAGTAATAAATTCTTTTATATATATTTTTTCATGCGGTGCCCACAGAGGTTAAAAAAATAATAAATTTTATATATATATATATTTTTTTTGTGTGTGTCTTTTTGAGACAGGGTCTCCCTGTAGTCCCAGCTGACCCGAACTCATTGTATAGACCAGGCTGGCCTTGAACTCACAGACATCCGCCTGCCTCTGTCTCCCAAGTGCTAGTGTTAAAGATGTGTGCCACCATGCCTAGCCTATATATGTATTTTTTATGTGTATGAGTATACTGCCTTCGTGTATGTAAGTGCACCTGCAGTGCCCACAGAAATCAGAAGAGGGAGTTGGATCCCCTGGAACTGAGTTACAGATGGTTGTTAGCCACCATGTGGGTGATGAGAACTGAATCCAGGTCCTCTGCAAGAGTAGACAGTGCTTTTAACCTCTGGACCACCTCTCCAGCCTCACATTCTTTTTTAAAAAAAAAAAAAATTTTTAACATATATGAGTGTTTTGCCTGCTTGTATGTAAGTGCACCACATAGGTGTAGTGCCCACAGAGGCCAGAAGAGGGTGTCAGATCCTCTGGAACTGGAATTAGGAATGGTTATTAATTGCCATGTGGGTGCTGGGAATGGAACCAGGTCCTCTGGAAGAACAGCAAGTGTTCTTAACTGCTGAGCCATCTCTCCAGCCCCACCAATAATACATTCTTATAGTGACAACCT